ATGATGTGAATCTTGGTTATATATTGTGACAACCACTATGCTACCAGTGACCATGATGTGAATCTTGGTTATATATTGTGACAACCACTATGCTATCAGTGACCATGATGTGACAACCACTTATGCTACCAGTGACCATGATGTGAATCTTGGTTAAAAATTGTGACAACCACTATGCTATCAGTGACCATGATGTGAATCTTGGTTATATATTGTGACAACCACTATGCTACCACTGACCAGGTTATGAATCTTGGTTATATATTGTGACAACCACTATGCTATCAGTGACCATGATGTGAATCTTGGTTAAAAATTGTGACAACCAATATGCTACCAGTGACCATGATGTGAATCTTGGTTAAAAATTGTGACAACCACTACGCTACCACTGACCAGGTTGTGAATCTTGGTTAAAAATTGTGACAACCACTATGCTATCAGTGACCATGATGTGAATCTTGGTTATATATTGTGCTTTTCTGTCATTACAGGTATGTACTGCAGGACAGTGGTAAGCCTATAGCCCGCAGATGTGCAGAGTTTCATGAATCGCTTGAGTTATTATGTGAAACACACGGAGTACCTAGAACACCTGATCAGTTTAGGTGAGATAGTCATTGTATACCTATGTGAATGTCATCACATTAGTATAGTTTTTATAAAACTCATTATCCTGTATTAGGCAAGAAACGTTTTTTTACCATACTCAAACTTTAAAAAAAAACAATAGAAGTTATTATATGCTAATGAATGCTATTGTTCCAAAAGATTATATTTGTTATCATGGAAATATTGTTACGCATGTGAATCACTGTGGTACAGTGAATGAATGAATGAATGAATCATGCAGTGAATTAAATTGTTACAAATTACAAAGTCACACATTTGTTAATGCATTCATTGTATTATAACAGCCCAAACTACTTTGGTGGTGTAGCATTACCTGCATTAACATGAAACATGGCTCAATATTTTCTAGTCTCTTCATCAATGCCCTCAGTCACCTTGGTGTTAGGTTCAGACAGGCTGCACTGTATTCACAAAAAATGCAGACTAACGCAAGCTGTATGCTTGATTCTCAACTTCTAACAAATTTTAAACTTTCCAATCTTTTTCCCCATTGTCTTGCTAGAACTCGGTGTAGACAAGGTACTGTGTGTATGATTATAGACAATCGGGAACCGCTACGAGATAGATTGCTTGCTATTGCACAGGAAAATAACATTCCTGCAATTGTACGTGAGTTAGCAGTGGGAGATTTCCTGTGGATACTATTACCATCTGATATTAATATCTGTCGCTATGATGGAGATTTACAGCATAGAGAAATGGTAAGTCAATGAAGAACAGCTTTATAATGTATGCATGTAGTGGAGACAAAAATTATTTATTTTGTACAATCTCAGTAAATTATACTAATATGGGATAAAGCCAAAGAGTGCAGGATTTTCTGGGACATAACGTCCATCTCCAGAAGAGC